CCCCCCCAGGCTAATGTGCCCTCATCCTCTGGCTGGTCACCTGGCAGGACCCATCTTCAGCTCTGCCTCATTCATTCAGAGAGACTTGGGTTCTATCCAAGTGTATTTTGGACCCCTACCTTGGGGCCAGGGGGCAGCCAGGAGCTGGGCCTCCTAACTAGGCCTCAGGGGGGCACGAGGATCACATGCTGCCTTATTGTATCTTTTGCCTAATGAGAAGATGCTATAGCACAAAGGTATGACCTGCTCCCTACTCTCCCCTCCGCAGACCCCTCCCCAGTTTGGGAGAGGTTGAGCATGTGGGGCCGGCTCTGTGTCCCCTTGGCAGCCTTTAGACAGAGCCCAGCGTGCCTGACCCACAGGCTCCCCAGAAAGCCTACGCTTTACCCGTATGGATATGTTTTCCAAAAATAGTCCTTTACTCTTCAAGTTCAAAATACAGTCTGAGTGGTGTTTTTTTTAGCTCTTTATTGTACAAATATTATGCACATAGAAACCAAAGAGGCGTTTAAGGCAGTCCCATATGTTCACAACCGTCAAGTCCAACCCTGGCCCCCACCAAGGAGACCCAGGCATCACATCCACCACCTGGAGTGTTTCCACAGCATCTCAGAAGGCGGGGCTCCCAAGAAATGTGGCCACAGACCCCCGTATCAGATCAAACAAAATGAGCAAGTGTTTTAATATTGTCAAATGTCCCGTCTTCTTTCCTCCACATCTTGTGAGTGTCCCATTTTCTTGGTGGTTGTTGGTGTCACTTCATGCTCAAGTCCCTTGGAGCACCTGATTGCCTGCCATTGGTCACACAGCTGGCTTTACTTGTCTCATTTGGTTTTTAGGGATCGCTTCTTAAACATTTAATTTTGTTCTATAATTATGTAAAATGTTACATGGTACCAAAGTGTCAAGCCTACAAAATAAAACACAAACCTCTCAATAGTGGTGTTGGACAGTTAGGAATGACGTTTTTGTCTTATTCTGGGGGAGTTCCCATTTAAAAACAGCACCTTGTTGCACTTGTAGGGGGTGTCTAGGTTTGCCCCTGAAGCCTGGGGTGGCCCTCTGCATTGGGTAAGGATGGCTAGGCTGGGTTGGGGGCCAGAGAAACTGGAGTCCACCCCATCTGGGCGGCCTGGCCAGTCACTTAGGCTCTGGGTCCTCAGTTTGTGTAGATGAGAAACAGCTGCATTGCTGGATGGGATGATGCTCAGTTCACTGAGCCACACTGGCTGGGCAGTATAGCGCACTTTTATCAAGAAGAGATGTTGAGCCCTGGCTGGGTGCCTCAGTTTGTTGACGCGTTGTCCCATGCACCAAAGGTTGCAGGTTCATTCCCAGTCCGGGCACGTACCTAGGTTGTGGGTTTAATCCCTGGTCAGGGTGTGTACAGGAGGCAACCCATCCATGGATCTTTCTCACATCAGTGTTTTTCTCTCCCTTCTCGTTATAAATTAATAAGCATGTCCTTGGTTAAGGATAAAAGAGAGAGAGATGTTGAGTTTTATTGATTTCTTTCTTGGTTCTTGTTGAGAAAGTCTTATGTTCTGTTATTTTTCCTGGCCAGGGCGGGGGGTGGTATGGGGTTTGAAAATGGTGTGATTAATTTTCCACATTCCTTGGCTCAGGGCGGGCCTGCACCCTCTCCTCCAACTGGAGTCAGGCACAGCCATGTACTTGACCTTTCCACAAAAGTACATGTACATGATATGTTTCACTTTGGGGAAGCTTCCAGAGTCAGCATATGATGCCCCGTGCTCTCAAGGTGACTGGCAGTGCTTCAGACAGTAGCCTGCCCTGGGTCCTGGTGTGAGGACCACTCAGAGCAGGGCCCCAGCCAACTCACAGCAGGCTTGTTGTGTGAGTGAGAAGTCAACATTGGCTGTTGTGGGAGTGTTTGTTACGGCAGCACAGTCTAGCACATGGTGATAGATACACATCCCCTCTGGTTCCCACTGAGATGGAGGAATAGTCAGCCACTCTATCCATTCTGAGGTCAGGAGAGGTGCCATCAGCAAGTCAGGCCAGAAGGATTGAGAAATGAGAACTTTCTGGAAGAAACGGCAAGTCAGGCCTTCAGGGAGCAACAGAAGAGGAGCTTCTACTGTGGTTTCTACCCTGATGGGGCACACACTGTCCTCTGTTATCCTCTGTGAAGGCAGCTCATGGGACAGGCACCTGCTTGCAGGAGCCATGTGCACAGACGACACTGGACACTGCTGCACGAATGACGATTCTCCGCCATGCCCAGTGGAGCCGGAAGTGATCCTCAGCTGCAGTGAGGCCAGCAGACAGCTTGGGAGAGAAACAAATGCTTCCAAGTGGCTGTGGTCCAAGAGGAGGAGACACTGCACGGCAGCCCATGTAGGAAGCTCTAGTACAGAAAACGCCAGCCAGCGAACCTTCTAGGAGGCAGCCAGAAATGTAGTCGGAGGAAACTTACATCTCAGATGTTTTCATCATGTACAAGAGAGAACAAATAGTACACAAGCTAAGCATTCACTCCTAGATTGGAGCAGAAAAATGAGATAAAGCCTGAAGCCTAAGGAAACAGGAGGAATATATGACTAAAA